TTCTAAATCGTCGTGTTGTGAAAAAAACAGTCCGCGAAGCACAGACCAAATCCCCCATAGGAATCACTGTTTTGTGAAGCAAAATGGCTGCCGCAAAACGTCGTCGTCATGCGGATTCGTCATTTTGAGGGGTAACCGTCTTGCGAGGTACCACTGTATTCATATTATAACAGCAGCAAGAATAGTTTTTGCGAAACACTGGAAGGAACTTAGAACACCGCAAATAGATGAAGTAACAGATAATATCCTTGAAACCGCAGAAATGGACATACAGTACTATCAGATTGGCTACATGCAAAAAAGAAAAAAGACCATCGGAAAATTTGGTCACAATTATATAGATGGTTACAAGGTAGGTAGAATAGTGGACTGATACATAGTTATGTATACGGCTGCAGAAGAGACAGGTCACAATTATATAGATGGTTACAAGGTAGATAGAATAGTGGACTGATACATAGTTATCCATATGGCTGCAGAAGAGACAGGATAGACTATCAGCTACATAATCAATAATTAGAATAACAATATATTTGTCTGAATTTGATTTTTCTGTCTCGTTCACTGTTTATATTTCTTTCTGATATGCAGCTCACTGTTTATATTTCTTTCTGATATGCATAACTATTACTACAAGAGAATGTATAGAATTACTAGGAAAATTATTAATTTGTAATGTATCTGTTCAAATCCACCCCCTCCAAGGGTACTCCTGTCCTCTGAAGACGCAGGCCACAGAGACTGGCGAAACCTTAGGAAGAACAACCTTCAGAACACGGCCAAAGAACTTGAAAAACCTACAACAACCTTTAGATCCCGGCCGTGAAAGCCTTTGCGAATACAAGTCTTTATTATGTTCTTGACAGCCGTGAAAGCCTTTGCGAATACAAAGTCTTTATTATGTTCTTGGGAATTGCATGAACTGAGGCTTCGCTCTATATATCTAATAAAGTAGCTTGCATTCAAAGGAAGCTATCACCAAATAAATGTGTCCATCATCACAATGCCACAACACTATTGGCTGTTTTTCCTGCAACACTTGAAACAGTAAGGTGTGTAAAAGTCACTCCTATCTTCTGATCATTGAAACATATAACAAGGCTGCTAGATGGAGGTATTTTAAAACACACATGTTGTTTTACCAATGTTAAAATATTCAGATCTGCCACACTAAAAAACAAAGAATTGTTTTGTACAAATTTGATAAAATACATCTAATTTTTGAGCATTCTGAAAATCAAATAGCACTCAATTTTGCCTGATGGTAACCTACCATATTTATTCACTTTGTAAATATTATACCATGTTTTCTCCAACAGACTATGTATGCCATCCAGTTTTTCAAGTGATAAACTGCTGTACTTATCATTCCTAACTAAAAAGTGTCATACATCTGTCAGGGACAACTGTTTCTGTGAATCAGCCAGCTGGATTTGCTTAAAGGGTATTGTGGCCTCTATCCTTTGTTTCCTGCAAACATGCTGCAGGCTGAACACATGAATTCCACCTTTCTTGGCTCAAGGCCTGGAAAATGATGTCTTTGCCAAAAGCAAGTTATCCTAGGGAGTGCAAAATTAACCTCAGTCTTCACAGGTCACACAGTAGTTTGATTTCCTAGCTCTGCTGAAAAATATTGTTACAAGGTATTTGTTGAAGAGACGTGCCATTTAAAAAAGTTTTATAGGATTACTTTTTTTATGGGTTGCTTTTGCTATGGGACTTTTTCCTGATGACACAATTCAAACTGAGCTTTGCAATTTAAAAATCATTTAAATCATTTTAACTATACACAGAATGGCAGGAAATTAAGAAAGGCTAGCAAAAACAGATACAGTCGTGCCCCGCTTAATGATTACACCTTATAACGATGAATCCGCATCAAAACGATATTTTAATGGGGTTTTTTCGCTTTGCGATGATTGGTTCCCTGCTTCGGGAACCGATTCTTTGCATTACGATGATCAAAACAACTGATCATTGGGATTCAAAATGGCCGCCGTCTGCTCAAAATGGCTCCTTAATGTTTTTAGGAGGCATTTTTCGCAAGACAGGCACCCGAAAATGGCCGCCATATGGAAGATCTTCGCTGGACGATTAGGTATTTCGCCCATTAGAACGCATTAACCAGTTTTTAATGTGTTTTAATGGGTTTTTAAATTTCGTTTGATGTTTTCGCTCTACAGCGATTTCGCTGGAACAAATTAACGTCATCAAGCGAGACACCACTGTACATGAAACCTATAAACAATGATACATTTACACTTGTCTTCTCCAAGCTCTGGATCATAGCTTTTCAACACATTTTTCACAATGACCTTTTTCAAGTAGAGAAATAAAGTTGCATTAGGGGTCTCTAGAGAACTGAAAAGTAGAATATAACTTTAATTACAAAATAAGATGGAATTATTAAATGCAAAAGCACTGCAGTTGAGGAGTCCTCCACCTATCACATAAACCTAAACCTTTCATGCCTATATAAAAAGGAATGGCATGGATATACTGTATAAAGTTTGTTAGATCTGTGAAGAATCTGGCAAGATAGGGAACGAAGAAACAAAAACTAAAAATACAGTGCTATACAATTTAACACCATGATCTCCATGCCTGCCTCTCCTCTTGACATTCTCTCTTATAAAACAAAATGTGAGCCAAGCTCCACTAAAGCTGCTTACTAGGAGGTCCAGCTAATACTTTGCAGGAAAGCTGTAGTCACTGTGCCACATCATGTGAAATCAGGGGATCAGCCACAACTCAGTAATGCAGCAAGGGCATACTCTGCCTATAGAAAAACCATGACTCAGATGCTGGAATGGCCAGGAGGGACTTTGCCTGACTCTTGGCAAGCCATAGAGTATAGAGAGTAATGGACTGTGTCTCTATAAGGAAGCTTCTTAAAACTCAAATGTTTCAAAATTGGCCACCTACAGAAGAAGTTTGGCTCTACTGGCTTTGTATCTTTTTGGTGCTGCACTCTAAAAGGAGCATAGGCACATAAACTGTTGTTTCTCCCCCATTACTGTATCTTTTGTTTCTCATGCTGGAACATTTGAAACGTTTTCATCTTTTCCCTTCACTAGTCTCTACTGTTTGCTAGAATGCAATGAAATGACTTAACTACAGAACACTTCCTTGTATCACCATACTGAAATGAGTTCTATGTGAACTTTCAGAGAATAAGTGAAAACAAACATGGGCTATACAGTCATCAGCTTGGCAGGAAATACAGTCAAAAATCCCACACTAATGTGGCATGCAAGGTTGCCAAACTGGTTTTCAAACTTGGCAGTTATCCATAATCAGTGCTTATGTGCCACAAAATTTATTGAAACTGTCACGTCTGTAGTTCTTTAATGTTTGAACTATATTCTAATCTATATAGGGTGTGGTAGGACAGAAATATAACAATTTTCAAGAGATGGATTAAGTGGAAAAACAGGATATATTTCAGAGGAAACAGCCAATGCTTTTCAGACAATGTTTATAGGAGCAAAGTGATTTATTTAAAATAGGTGATTAGAGACTTCATAATACAGAACCCATGATTTCTGTACTTAAAAATGTTAAGTCCCGGTGGGGGGAGGAAGAGATAAAATGGAAAAGTATGAATCTCTCCCATTTTTTTTCCATAGACAATTTTTTTAAAATTTCCAGTAGAATAAGTAGAAATGGGGGGGGGAGGAGGGAATAACCAATAAGTATTTTCCCTTTTGGAAGTGAAATTGTTCTTAAGAACAAGTTTTACTCTCTCAAAATGCTAGGGATCGTCTAACTAATGCATCATCCAACTGTCTACATAAAGAAGGAGAATTTAAAACAATTCATGTACATATTTCATAAATGTGGCAACTGTTACAATTATATATGTTAACTAAATTATGAATGAAGCATTTTATGTTGTTAAAGCAATAAAGTAAGTCTTGGTTTGATATGAAAATTAGTATTGATGATATTTCAATTTTTCCAAAATTTCAATTTCTCCTCAGAACAAACAAATGTGCCCCCACCAGCTTCAGAAGTCTAGATTTCTTTGTGTACTACACTCTGTCTACCATGACAATATATAACTTGTTAATTTACCAGCAAAGCAAAACTGAGAGCTAATACATTGCTTCCTTCTCTCTCCCCAACCAAACCAGAACCTTGTAGGATTTTTTTCAAATCCTGCCCTGGTATATTTAAGTGTGCCTATCCAGCACAGGGTTGAAATTGTTGCTTCTGATTAATTTCAAAAACAATTTAAAAATAAAGTTATAATGGATGCTACTGACAAATAAAGCTTATATATCTGTTATTTTTATATCATTTAAAGGATTTTCTAAGAAATGAAAATTGATTTCAAACTTTGAGATGTATTTATATTTAATAGTAACAGTGAAGTACTACAATACTAAAGATTATTACTTATGAGTAGGGGAGGATTTCTATGACAGTTCACCCATAAGCAAGTTCGAACATGTTTATGAGTAATCTGGCTTTTCTCACCAGAGTATTCATAAACATGTTCAAATCTACCCATAAGCTCAAACATAGGCTGCAGAAAAACATATGACATGTCATAGAGACCCTTTCCATCCCACTTATGAGGTTTCCCCCCCATTATTCTGTGTTATAGTGTTACCGCTATCTAATACTTAAAATAAGAACCTGTATTAAAACAGTACTACCTAAATTCATAGCCTACAGTAGAAATGTAATTTCTGATAAATATGTTTATGATTAAACAGTGAATCCAACTGAATTCCATAGATTCTGCTACCCTGTAAAATGTAAATAAACATAGTACCCTGGATGGCTTTCCTTAGACATTTTTAATACACAACTAAAATACTACTATAGGGTCAGAGTTACTCTAGTATTCCCATATTGAGGCAACATGTATCTTCTAGGAACTGTCTGTCCAAGGACCTTTTAACAGATGCAGTACCGAACACCCCCACCCCCATGTCAGATCTTGTTAGCACAGATAAAAACATATTTTATATAGCTACTTTGGAACTTACTTAGATGCTTCAGCAAATTGCTTTTGTGGTTTCTGTAAATGCCATGAGCCAGAACTGGTTGTTTCAACAGCCTTAATGTCTTCATTTTTGCTTGATGCTCCCAGTTCATTTTCAGTAGTCGAAATGACAAATATTTCTGATTTGAGATGTTCGCTAGGTCCACTTTTATGATGGCTTGATACATCTGAAATGTCTTTTTCAGTTTTGTTTTGTACATCTCCAACTGTGGCTCGCTCATTGTCTTTGAATGAAGATTTTGAAGAAATACCAAATAAACTCCCAAGATACTGGAAAAATCCTTCTTTGATCTGTCTGTTATTGCTGGATGTTTTGCCTTCATGAGCCAAACTGGGAAGGCTTTTGGCTTTCTTTAATTCTTCCTGAGTGCTGGACCTGCTCAGCTCTTCTGTAGAGAGGTTCTTATTGTCAGAGATTGAAAACTATGAAGAAAAGAAAAAGAGGATTTTATTAATGAATGATGAGAATGGAACTACATTTCATTTTAATGCAAAAGATTAATTTTATTTTACTTACTGCCTACATTATCTTGCCTATCTTACAAGCTTGCAGCACCAGTCAACAGTTTTTCCCTTTCAGATCTTCCCAACCACCTTATGAGGTAGCCTGAGGTAAGAGACTGCAATTGGTCGAAGATCAGAGTGATCCATGGCTGATAGCAAATTTAACCTGGGTCTCCCCAGTCTATGTCTATTATATGTTTAAACACAGTGCCCAATGGATGACAGTGTCATTCAAGAATAATTAATATTATCGTATGTTTCATAATGGTGCCAAATAAATATCTAGCATCATAGAGAAATAAATACAGATGGAACGTATTTGACATATAACCCCAAAAGTATTTCACCTGTCATTAACTTGTATCTATCAGCACAACCACCACATCTTATAGTAACAAATAACCTGTTATACAAAGATACATAAACTGAGAGGCAGAATAGCAGGTTAGACCTATGTTGTGCCTCATCACACAGGATGCCACTGTGATAACAATGACACATGCTTCTGTATGCTATTTCAGCTATGCATATTAACATGACAATTGCTCCTTGCTTTGATTGACTGTTGACTGTAAGATTTTGCTTTTATAAAATGCACCAACACAGTTGCAGATCCTTTTAACCCTGCTTACTCCTGTGTTTGGAATATAATTAATTCAATTCCAGTTATTCACATTATTTTTTTAATAAATCTGAACTGGGTCCATTTGTCTGATGACATCTGAAGATTCACATATTCAATATGATACCTGAAAACCGATGCAAGTTTGAATGCTGATCTAACAGAAGCTGTGACAATATACAATTTTACTTATTCTATGTCAATAATGTGTTTTTAAAAACTGTAACATTTAATTGTTACATTGAATTAAATGAAAGGTCAAGCAATTATGTATGTAATACTCCCAGTGATCTCAAAATATGTAATTATGGGCAAAATCCAGTTGGGGCAGTTATGTCAGAGTAAACCAGATCTGTAAACACACCCCCATTTCAGCTTCTAAGGCACCCTAGGGCTGACTTTGGGGGGTTTGTGATGGAGGGGCAGGTGGGGATCTTTTAATATTAAAAAACCATCACCAAATTGATCCCAGTCCCAGTGTTAATTTCGTACTATTAAAATCTCTGCCCTCACCTGAAGCTTCCAAAGACTTCTGTGGGGCAAAATAGATTCTTGCTCATTACATACCATACCCTTAGACATACAGAAAACTTTGATCTAAACCTGGCGCTTTGCTCATGTTTAATTTCCTGGCCAGTCTGGTCAATACCCAGCTGCGTCATTCTGCAAATGTAAAATAATGTTACACTCCAAGACATCAGGTTTCAGGCTATGATTAAGGGGGAATCCAACACCATTTTCAGTTGCACTACTTGTGCAAGTGATGTGCCAAGGAATCATAAGAACAAGTCATCACCATTTGCACAACTGAAAAAAATTCCTTGATTTTGCTAGTACATAGTTCACATCTGCAAATGCTATAGCTCAGTGGTTTAGGTATCTGGCTGCGTAGCCAGGAGTATAGCCAGCCTGCATGGCCTTGGGCAAGCTCCACAGTTCCATCCCTCAGAAGGGAATAGTAAACCACTCTTCAGTATTCTCTACCTGGACATGCCTGAAAAAGGGTTGCTATAAGTCAGATTTGGTGGCGTATGATTACTAATTAATGTTATTTTGGATTTAGGCCTTAGTTTCCATGGCCTCTATTTTCAAATGACAGATTTCTATTTCAACTTTTGTCTATTTTTGTCTATTTACTAATACATATACATATACATATACATATACACATACACATACACACACACACACACACCTGTATGTTCTTCTTCACATCCTCCAGCTACATACATACATACATACATACATATGTATACACACATGTGTATGTTCTTCTTCACATCCTCCAGCTATTGAACACTTTGTAACTAAAGTGAAAAATAGTGTTTCCTAGCTCCTTAAAGTCAACAAATAAAAATCAGACCTTTAACAGCTCTGGAAGAGGGTTGCTTTCCTTTCTCTGACCCACCACATGTGCAGATTCGTGTTCATTAGTTTCAAAGCTGAAAAAGAGAGAAACAGCTACTCTGAAAGTCTGAACTGATTTAGAATATTCTGACAAAATACATAGGAATTAGGTATTTTCATTTTTTGTTTTTTGATCATCATCATTTCTTTTACCTGAACAGCTTCCTCATTTTAGAGAAAGCATTTCTTTCATCTGCAGAACACTTCTCCAAACCCAGTACTCTAGAAAAAAACATTATTGATCTACCAGTGTTTTTTCTTCTTCAGCTCAGCACCTTCTTCAGTTACTTCTTCACTAAAATATCCCAAGTTCACCAGTTTCCTCTCTCTAATTTCATCTTTCTGCTTTTCAACATGGCAGTTTCCCATACATCTTCAGAGGCATCTTCAGAGGACAGGAGTAGCACTCTGTGCTCTGGTGCAGTTTGTTTCTCAAACAAACTGCACCAGAGCACAGAATACTACTCCTGTTCTTTGAAGATAACAGACACAGAGACTGGCGAAATGTTAGGAAGAAGAACCTTCAGAACACGGCCAAAGAGCCCAAAAAACCCACAACAACCAATTTTAGGATGGATAAAACTGTGGCAAAAACAGTGAATCTAAATACTGTATATTTTTCTGACACATTGTAATTACAGCTTAAACCCAATAGCATCAAGATTTAAATAAAAAAAACAGATCCAATATAATCATAATTTAAATCAAGATTTAAATTACAAAAAACAGATTTTTGACAAGTTAAATAAATAATAATGATTTAAAATTAAATTGATTTGATTTTTTTTAAAAGTGTTGGTTTTTATTCACCCTGAAGAGCAGACACACTGAACCAATTGCTGAATAGCAAGTTGATATTTCTATAGTGAATTCCCCCAAACTATGGGCAGAATCATGGTGAGGAAGCACAGAGCACAATACCCTATGTGTGTATTGCTCCACATGTACTTCAACCTACAGCTGTGTGGGCCAGAGATCACCTAGTTAAGTGCAACAGAGCCTCTGCATGCACAATGGAATAGCAGATGCTTACCAAAAAACCCCAAAACAAAACATGCATATAAAGGACCACTGCATATGCTGTAAAAATACAATAAAAGTAATAAACAGGCAAGAAACAATTTCTACCCTAATTTGCTTAAGTAAATCAAGCCTTATACCATCATTGAAGACCTATTATATCATTCTGTATCATATTAGGACAAAAATTATTTTTGTATTGGGCCTTACTTCTGAGTGACTCTGCCCTCTACTATAGCTTTCAAGACACTTCAAAGACTTGTGAATGTGCACCCTATGTAACTTAACTGAAGATAACTTTTTTGCTATTTTAAAAGATAAACCTAAAAGACATGACAGCCCAGTATAGTGTGAAATTCTTGAAATAATTCATAAGGAATAAGAATCTATACATTAGATGCAGAAAGATTTATATAAAGGATAGGAGACAGTTATCAGCCTTGACAGATTAGTAGCAATCAACATACTTATTGCACAAGAATTTCTACATTTTGATTTATGCTGTAATTCATATTTAACACTTAGGCTAACATAGTTCCTGTTTTCACAAATAAGATTTGCCATACAACACTTTTGAGAACTGAGCTACAGTACTGTATAATTTACACTACCTGAAATCAAAAGCTATCACCTGCACTTACACAAACTGTGACTTAATTGCAAAGACCTCTAAGATGAGTTCTGGTCACTGTTTTTACAGATTCCTGAGTATGTTATTAGCTGATTTGGTGTGTGAAAACATTGTTTTAAATCCAAGATCACTCTCTGTAGAACAAAACAAGATGAAAAGAAAAAGAAACAGCTATCAGATTGTTTATTTCCAAACAATCTTCTTTCTGGTTAATTGCAGAAACCTTCAGAAAAGAAAACAGTAAGCGTACCAACTGCATGTCCAAAATTATACTTGAAACTGGAGAATAAAACATTACTATAAAAGGGGGTAAAATCCTATTGCTTCTATCATAGAATGTTTGCATACCATGAGCAAAATAACAGAATATGGGGGTGTCCTCTTGTAGTGTGTCTCCATCTCACATATTTCAAAAACTCTACTAGGATTTCCAAAAGTGAGAAATGACGAGACAGCAAAACAGCTCTTTATTCAGGATTTCACATCTGAGATTGACTAGGGTGTGTAGGTAGGAAACAAATAATTATTTTTTTATTTGCAATAGTACTGTTAAGAGCTAAAGATCTCTGGTCTTCCAAAGGGGGGACTGCAGTTCCACCACTAGGTACACTGGAGGGGGGCCCCCTCAAAGTACTATACTTTTGAGAAAATGAAATGAGACAGCACACCAAAATTCTTTGGAGACATAGGCATAACTGAATCACCATAACTATGTTTAGACAAGCTTTCTTTCAGAAGAGGAGCATACAGCATACAGAGAGGAGAAGGCCATCTGTAGAGAAAACAGAGGGTGTGTAGGTAGGAAACAAATAATTATGTTTTTATTTGCAATACACTAGTACTGTTAAGAGCAAAAGATCTCTGGTCTTCCAAAGGGGGGACAGCTAGTGGGAATGTTTAACCTTTACCTCTTCTTGTGACTTTCTCGTGCTTGTAAATGATATCTATTTTGTCCATTTGTTTTCCAATAGCTGGCAAATGGTTCCAATAATATTTATTTATTTGTTTGTTTATTTGTTTGTTTATATTCCACACCATCTGGAAACCAGGCCACTCTGATGATCTGACTGGAACCTTTCCTTTACTATTTTTCCCCTCTACCATTCCTTCCTTCAGCTATTCTCTCCCCTCCTTTTTTCCCAGCTAGTTCCAAGACTGGAAATGAGCACAGGTTGAGGAGCTTAGACTTGGACATAGGCATGGACATAGGCGGTGGGCTGTGAGGAAGAACTGCCCACGTAGTAGAAATGTTCAGTCCCAGCTATTTATTTTCCCTAGCAAATGTCCGACCATATTTTTTGCTCCACTAACCATGTACACAGATAACAGAAGAGAAATATAAAAATATTTAGTACAATACCTTTCATGAAGTTGACATACAGTAAACACATTAGTAAGAGATGTTCTGAAAAGGTTTTGCTCTCATACAAGTAAAACAATGTAGCTTTACAAGTCTCTGTTTCTTAATTTAACAGCTTAAATTAAGAGAAAATGAAATCAAACTAAAATGTATACAGACTATTACTACAAACTCAGTGGCAACCTGCTAAAATGACTCAGTTCAATCACAGAAGCTGAAAACTTTTTCAAGCTTTCTTTGTAAAAAAATCGCATAAATGCACAATTAAATCTTCAAAGACTATCCAAGCATCAGATCACAAACACTTCCCTATCTTTGTTCTTTTAACAATGTCTTGGATGTATAAAGAAAAAGCCCATCCCTTCTCTTCCTCTATTGAGTTACTCCACCCCAATTATGTACACAAACTTTTATTTGCAGTGTTAGGCATCAATGTTTGGAACTCAGAAGGAAACAGAGCACTGGCAGAATAATTGAAATGTGTATTGGTTTCTGGTAATGCAACTAGTGAGTTAGAGTACGTGGCTAAGCAGCCTGGGACAGGATGTTTGATTCCCAGATATGTATTTCAGGAGAAGAGCCAGTCTATGGAGCCTTGGGAAAAATACACAGTTCCAAAGCGTCCCCAGAAGAAGAGAATGATAAACCATTTCTAAGTACCTTATACGTAGGGAACCCTGGCAACGACCACTGTAAATCAGAGGTGCGTTGGTGGCACATAATTATTAATTATCAAATTAAATGACATGGCTATGGCAACAGCAAAGGAAGAGGGATACTAGTGATGCTAAAAGATTCAAATTGCAGAAATTAGTGCAGAATGACAGATGATGACCAAAGCATGAATGGCATCACAGATCATTCCTCTAGGAGGATGATATGAAAATTGTTTCCAATTCAGCAAACAATATACACATTCAGTGGAAAACTATTTCCTGTAGCATTCTGAGGTCATCTCATTTTAGGCACATTTCAAAAGTACAAATAATCCAAAAGGAAGCTCTAAGATATTTAAAAGATAAAAATTAATATTGATAAAATACAGTCTAACCAATTAGACACTTAACTACTGAGCTGCTGAAATGTCAGCACTGTGGTTTTATTTGCCTGTTCATTACTAAACCCTTTGATATTGAAAATGCAATTAGGGGAAGTGATTTTCGGATGACTGGAAGGCTATCTAGATTCCTGACATGGTTCAATGACTCTCCAGAACAGAATGGAAAGTGGTCCAGAGGTGTCACGGCTTCAGGAGATGAGATGAAATTTTAAAAAATCACCTTTAGCCATTCCATTCTACACAGGACCAAAGGCCATTACATTCACTCCTGATAACTATGCTTCAAAAATATTTATTAGGTTGTTTATTATTATCATTATCATACAAATATATTTTATGAATGTGTTTTATCCATTGATGTTTCACCTTTTCGACGTTTTTTTCTCAGACATTACATCATTCCTCATTTTTTATTTTTTCTGTGCATAACCAAATCACTATGTAAAGCCTAGCCTTCCTCCTGAGCCCATCCCCAACCCCCCCCCCCCCCCAAAAAAAACCCCTGCATTGAATGACCAACAAAAGTGAGGTTTGTTGCTGAAGTTATCCTGTGCGAATTCCTGGAAAATAATAATAAATCATCTTAGAACTGCAGAGCTGGAAGGGACCCTATGGATCATCAAGTTCAGCCCCTTGTCAAGGAGGCACAGTGGGGAATTGAACTCCCAACCTCTGGCTCTGCAACCAGATACCTAAACCACTGAGCTATCCAGCAGCTCAAAAATCAGCTGGAAGACAGCAATACCTTTGTATTAGAGCATAACTATTACTATATCAACCCTCTAGTACTATAAATACTAATTGTACAATGTGTTTTTCCAATGCATTCATAAAGGATACGTAGCATACTGCAGTGGAACAAAGAAACTGTTTGGAATGACTGCCGTGTAATTAATGTATAATTCTTTTAAAATGTGAAAAAAAGATGTGTGCATAATCTCTCTCATGAATATATATCAGAACA